ACAGTGTTTATCAGAGTTTTCAATAGCACACGGTGGAAGAGCGGACATCAAGGATCATCTAAAGTGCTCGAAACACAAGGCCAGCGTACGTGTCATTGCAAGCTCATCTACCATAACATCGTTTTTCAAAAATGTCGAACCCGCAGAAAATGAACTTTCCATTGCTGCTAAAGAAGCTACTTTTGCATTCCATACAGCAATGCACGATATAAGTTTTAAAACATCTGATTGCTTCTCAAAATTAATATCGAAGCTATTTGAGCCCAAATTCGGGTCTGCGCGTACCAAGTGCGAAGCGATCATCACGGGAGTGATCGCACCGATGGCAAGAGATGAACTACACGATGAGCTAAAAGAATGCAATTTTTTGAGCATTTCAACAGATACATCAAACAGACATGATGTTAAATTGGCACCAATAGTTGTGAGGTACTTTGTACCTGTGAGAGGTATATCTGTAAAGTTACTCGATTTTCGATCTGTCGTCGGAGAAACGTCTGAAATCTTGGCAAATCACATAATGTCGATAATCAAAAGACACGAAATAGAAAACAAGGTGGCTGCTTTCTGTGGTGATAACTGTAATACGAATTTCGGAGGGGTAAACAGGCGGGGCACCAACAACGTCTATTCCAGGCTCAAGGAAGGTCTCGGCGTTAACATAAAAGGCATTGGTTGCAGCGCACACATCATTCACAATACAATTCAACATGCAGTTGATGGTCTGCCTGTCGAAATAGAGGCTATCGTTGTTAAAATATACAAATATTTTTGTATATATACTGTACGCGTCACAAACTTAAAAGAGTTTTGTGAGACAGCTGACATCGAGTACAAAAAATTAGTGAAACATGGAAATACAAGATTTCTGTCTTTATTACCAGCTGTGGAAAGGATCCTGCAGCTATACGAAGGCTTGAAATCTTATTTTCTTGCTCAAGTAAACTGTCCGCTCGCATTGCGACAGTTCTTCACAACAGAAATTGGAGCACTTTATTTTTGGTTTGTGCTCGGACAGTTAAATGTATTCAACAAGACCATTGAGTCTATGGAGAAGACTAACTCAACGGCGACAGATGTAGGTATGGAGTTGGCAAAGTTAAAAACCAATCTTCAAAACAGGATGGAAAACAAATTTCTTCCACAAGCAGCTAAACAACTCTTAAATAAATTGAAAGAGTCCATAAATGTCGAAAACTTCATGAGTGACGTTCACGCTTTTTATGAGCGCTGCATATCGTATTTAACATTGTGGGAAAAGAGCTTCGACGGAGCTGAAGATTTTGAGTGGATCTGCTTGAAAAATGAGCTCAACTGGAGTGAAATCGAAAAAGCAGCAGAAAATATAAATAAAATGCAAAAACCTCAATCGAAAACCCAAATAATGATTGATGAGCTGTTTGATGAGGTGTTATTGGCAAAAAGCTTCTTCCAAAATTCTAATGAAGCTAATTACTCCGAGAAATGGGTCCAGCTATTCACCCATTTTCACAAGCAGCATATTGAGGTGCCAAATTTAAAAAAAATTGTGGAGTTTGCTATGTGTCTACCCGGTACTTCAGCGCCAGTGGAAAGAATTTTTTCACAGATAAAAAATATGTGGTCTGACGATCGGGGGAGGATGGAAGAATGCGTTGTGGAAGCCTTGCTTACGTGCAAACTCAACTTGAACATGTCATGCAGTGAATTTTATGACAAAATTAAGCACGACAAAACGATTCTGAAGAAAGTGCACTCTAGTGAAAAATATAAAGCAAGCGTGGGTGAACAATAAAACCGGGCAAATTTTTTGTGTTGTTTGTATTAATTGTACTTTGTCTCTTTTTCTTTTTAATAAAAAATATATTCACATTTATTAATATGTTTTCAATTCATAATAATTTTGATTGCATTTCAAATATGAAAAACACAAATTAAGCGAAAAGCAAAATGAAAATGAGCCTCTTTCTCTTCTGCGTCCCGGTTTGGCTCTTCGTAATTATGGTAAGCCTACTTATAGGTGCCCTGAAGTGCCAAAATCTAGAGCACTTAACCGACGAGCACTTCGCACAGAAGGTGAAGGTCCTCTACAAAACCGGGGACAAATCCAGGGACACCACGAACTGGGTCTTTGAACTGTCTCCGGATGTCAGAGAAACCCTATTCGCCACTGGGCGAGTCTTCGTCGGCTGGAATTCCTGCGCGATCAGGGACTACAATATAGTCAGCAGGTGCTATAAGTGCCAATCTTTCGGCCACATCTCGAAACACTGCAGGGCAACCATCGAAACCTGTGGTCACTGTGCCAAGGATGGGCACTCTTTTGACAAGTGCCCAGAGAAGAGCAACCACCCCACGTGCATCAACTGCAAAAAGGTGAACAAGCAATGCGACCACTCCTCCAGGAGCAAAGACTGCCCTGCCTTCCGCTACGCCATGGAGGTTAACTCTAGCAAGATTGATTATGGTAAGTAAGCCTTCACCTCTTGTAAACGCGGGAACCACCGGGAGAAACACAATGACACACAGGAGAGATCGTATCTCCACTATAAAGATCACGCAAATAAACACAAATAACTGTAGAACGGCAATGGACGAGCTAAGACTAATAGCCTCAAGAAAGGGGCTTGACGTCTTAGCAATCCAAGAGCCATACATACACCCGAACACAAAATACACTAACGTTCTCGGAATCACGACACAAACAATTACAGACAACAAACACTTCTCAGACAACGCTTCTAAAAACATCATCAAAAGCGCCCTAGTAATTTGTAACCCGGCGCTCACGACACTGAAGCTGGAGCACCTGTGCAACACACACTTCTCTTGCGCTGAAATAAGCACAGGCGACCTCTGCTTCTATGTCGTGAACGCCTACTTTCAGTGCTCAGATCCAATCACCAAATACATAGACCACCTTGATTCAATCTTGTCCAACCTCCGGGGAAAGAATGTCATAGTCCTCGCAGACGTAAATGCCAAGTCCACCCTATGGCACAACACTGACACAGACAACAGAGGTGAAGCTGTCGAGGACCTAATCTCGCAGCATAACCTCTTAGTTGTCAACAAACCCTCTAGCACACATACCTTCGATAACACAAGAGGCAAATCCAACATCGATGTATCACTGGTCGCCGGCCCAATAGCGAATAGGATAGATCGATGGCGGATACACGATAAAGAAACTGCAAGTGATCACAACCTAATCACATTTCACATCCAGCATGCATTCTCAGATAGCCCAAAACTCTCCTCCAACCGGTTCAATCTGAAAAGAGCGAACTGGAAGAAGTTTGAGAAAACCCTTAGAACCAAGTCCTTGCAGGTTCTCAACGCGCCCTCAACCAATCACAAAGACGCAAACGGACTTGCAGTTGCGCTCGAGGATGTGATAATTCATGCCAGCAATGCTGCAATCCCAAGGAAGACCTGCTTCCCCAGGTCTGTCCCTTGGTGGAATAAAGACTTGGACAGATTGAAGAAGGAAGTCCGAAGGCTTAGAAGGTTAACTCAGCAAAACAGAAACACTGCACAGCACGAACAAACAACGAAACAATACAAGCAAATTAGAAACAAATACAATGCACACATCAAAAAGGCAAAACTCCTCAGCTGGCGCTCATTTGTGACAGCTGAGGGGAACAAAGATCCCTGGGGCGTAGTTTATAAACTACAAACCAGGAAAATCAACACTGCCAAAGCCTTCAACAACATCGCACAAAATAACACACACACAACCACTTGGCATGACACTGCTGAGTTACTCCTTCACAGCCTTATACCGGATGATGATAAGAGCGCTGAAACACAATGGCACAGGCGACTACACAATAACACAATAACACCCCCCGACACGCGCGACTCTGCCCCCTTCACAACAACTGAGGTGGAGATTGCCATTCGTAAGCTTAAAGGAAAGAAGGCCCCAGGCGCGGACGTAATGGAACCCGAGATAGTCAAGAGGGCGTGGCCCCTGCTACACACGGAGATAACACAATTGTATAACACATGCCTCTCGACAGCTACATTCCCGGACAGATGGAAGCAGGGGGTCATTAAAGTTCTGCTAAAGAACGAAAGCAAAGACCCCGCGAATCTGAAGTCATACACACCCATCTGTCTCCTTCCAGTATTGAGCAAAATTCTGGAAAAATTAATTGCTTCTAAATTAAAACCCCCTTTCGAAACACATGTACAAACGGCTGACCAACAATACGGCTTCCGACCAGCCAGATCCACGGAGGAAGCTATTGTTAAGGTCAGATCTATAACAGCGCAAAGCCAAGAGAGATATCTGATAGGTATACTATTTGATATAGCTGGCGCATTCGACAACGTATGGTGGCCTTCTATCCTAGACGGCCTGAAGCGACGAGATTGCCCTGCAAATCTGTACAGGCTCATCCAGAGTTACCTCTCGAAGAGATCTGTACAGATTCAAAACAATAGTTCCACTGTCAGAAAGGATGTGACAAAAGGTTGCCCACAGGGATCTGTACTGGGTCCAAAGTTCTGGAACCTACTATTTGACGACCTTTTAAACAAAATCACACTGAAGGGTCTCAAGTGCGTTGTATATGCTGATGACCTCATAATCCTAATCCGTGGGAATTCCAGGAGGGAGCTTAAGGTCAGAGGCAACACTGCAACTAAACTTGTCGTCGACTGGTGCCAGAAGCACAAGCTCCAAA